TCGGGAATCCCGGGAAACGCTCGGGAATCCCGGGAGAGGCTCGGGAATCCCGGGAAACGCTCGGGAATCCCGGGAAAGGCTCGGGAATCCCGGGACAGGCTCGGGACAGGCTCAGGAAAAGCTCGGGGAATCCCTGGGAAAAGCTCGGGGAAAGCTCGGGGAATCCCCGGGAAATCCCTGGGAAAAGCTCGGGGAAAGCTCGGGAAAAGTTCTAGGAATCCCCAGGAAAAGCTTGGGAAAAGCTTGGGAAAAGCTCAGGGAAAGTTTGGGAAAAGTTTGGGAAAAGCTCAGGAAACCCTGGGAAAACTTGGGAAAAGCTCGAGGAAAGCTCAGGAAATCCCTGGGAAATCCCCAGGAAATCAATGAGAAATCCTGGAAAAAGCTTGGGAAATCTCCAGGAAATCCTGGGAAAAGCTTGGGAAAAGCTCAGGAAATCCTGGGAAAAGTTCTGGAAATCCCCAGGAACAGTTTGGGAAATCCCTGGGAAATCCCAGAAAATCCTCGGGAAATCCCGGGGAATCCTCGGGAATTCGGGAATGGGGTTGGGAATATCCCGGGATTGAATTTTTTTCCTGTTTTTCTTCTTTTCCCAGAAAATCTGCCTTCCCCGCAAGCCCTGACCGTGAGGCTCCTGGTGAGATTTGGGGAATTTTTATGGGAATTTTTAATGGGAATTTTACGGGAATTTCCTGAGAATTTCCCCAGAATTTTATGGGAATTTTATAGGAATTTTTCAGGAATTTCCTGGGAATTTTTATGAGAATTTTCTGGAAACTTTCCATCAATTTAATTGGAATTTTACAGGATTTTTTTTTTTGAATTTTCAGGAATTTTGGTGGGAATTTTCAGGAACATTTCTGGGAATTTTACAGGAATTTCTGGGGATTTTAAGAGATTTTTCAGGAATTTTGGTGGGATTTTTCTGGGAATTATCATGAGTTTTATGGGAATTTCATGGCAATTTTCTGGGAATTTTCCAGGGATTTTCCTGGGATTTTATGGGAGTTTCTTGGTAATTTTCCCAGAATTTTATGGAAATTTTCCAGGAATTTCCTGGGGATTTTATAGGAATTTTACAGGGAGTTCTTTTTAATTTTCCGGAATTTTGGGGGAATTCTTGTGGGAATTTTCCCATTTCGCAGGCAGCTTTCATTCCCATTTTTCCCATTATTCCCGTTTTTCCTGTTGTTATTCCCAGGCAGTTTTCATTCCCGTTATTCCCATTTTCATTCCCATTTTTCCCCTTTTTCCCGCCGCCGTTATTCCCAGGCAAGTTTTATTCCCATTATTTCTGATTTTCCCGTTTTTCCCGATGCCATTCCCGTTTTTCCCGCCATCCTTCCCAGGTGGGTTTTATTCCCGTTATTTCTGATTTTCCCATTTTTTTCTGATGTCATTCCCGTTATTCCCAGTTTTCACTCCCACTCTTCCCATTGTCATTCCCAGGCAGTTTTCATTCCCATTTTTCCCGGTTTTCCCATTTCTCACCCCATTTTTCCCGCCATTATTCCCAGGCGGGTTTTATTCCCATTATTTCTGATTTTCCCTTTTTTTTTCCCAACGTCATTCCCGTTTTTCTGGATCTCATTCCCGCTTTTCCCGATCTCATTCCCGTTTTTCACCCCATTTTTCCGCCACCGTTGTTCCCAGGCAGTTTTCATTTCCATTATTCCAAATTTTCCCGTTTTTCCCAATGTGATTCCCATTTTTCCCGATCTCATTCCC